TTATCTTTCTCCTATAGAGAGGAGGCAGCTGTCTCAAGCAAATCTGGTAGAATCAGGCAAATCCCAGAGGACCCCACCCTGCAACATGGCTAGCAAAGCTCCCACTACAGTTGACGCAACAGAGTTCGGTGACAGTCTTTTCCAAATGGAATTTCCTACTCACTCGGCCCATTTATAATTATTAGCATCGGTGTGCTCTCCACACTGAAGCCATCTCAAATCTATAGAAACCTAGAAGTTTCACTTTGCAGGGTTCTTCCTGAATGGAACCACTATTAAACTCCTGGTAGATGAAATACAAGAGAGACAATTTGCCCCAATCCGATCCCTTAGGAAAGAAAAGCCTTCGACTCCATTCAGTTAAAGCAAAGGGTTCTTTCACTAAGGATGTTGGTTGCAGTAAAGTCAAGCCAGCTCTGAAATCTACCACGCTCACTAGATACAAAAATAAGGTGTAGGTTTGCCCACAGCCCATCCCTCTCCCCGTGACCAGTCTGTTTCCAGCCAACCAGAGCTTGCCAACGTATTTTAAGAACTCTGAGATAATAATAATAATAATAATAATAATAATAATAATAATAATAATAATAATAATAATAATAATAATAATAATAATAATAATAATAATAATAATAATAATAATAATAAAGTTGGAAGGGACCTTGGAGGTCATCTAGTCCAACCCCCTACTCAGGCAGGAAACCCTATACCATTTCGGACAAATGGCTGTCCAGTCTCTTCTTAAAAACTTCCAGTGTTGGAGCATTCACTGCTTCTGGAGGCAGGTTGTTCCACTGGTTAATTGTTCTAATTGTCAGGAAATTTCTCCTTAGTTCTAGATTGCTTCTCTCCTTGATTAGTTTCCATCCATTGCTTCTTTTCCTGCCTTCAGGTGCTTTGGAGAACAGCTTGACTCCCTCTTCTTTGTGGCAACCCCTGAAATATTGGAACACTGCTATCATGTCCCCCCTCGTCCTTCTCTTCGTTAAACTACCCAATTCCAGCAACCGTTCCTTATATGTTTTAGCCTCCAGTCCCCTAATCATCTTTGTTGCTCTTCTCTGTACTCTTTCTAGAGTCTCAACATCTTTTTTACATCGTGGTGACCAAAACTGGATGCAGTATTCCAAGTGTGGCCTTACCAAGGCATTGTAAAGTGGTATTAATACTTCACGTGATCTTGATTCTGTCCCTCTGTTAATGCAGCCTAGCACTAAGGATGTTGGTTGCAGTAAAATCAAGCCAGCTCTGAAATCTACCACATTCACTAGATACAAAAATAAGGTGTAGGTTTGCCCACAGCCCATCCCTCTCCCCGTGACCAGTCCCTTTCCAGCCAACCAGAGCTTGCCAACGTATTTTAAGAACTCTGAGATGTTTGGGGGTAATCTGACTATTTCTCAGAGTGCCTGGCTATGGGATGCTGGCACAAACAGGATCCGGCTGCTCTGATCCTTCTCACCTGTCATTCCCCCCCTCCCGATTTCCTACCATGTACACACACAAAGCTTTGTTGCCCTTTCATCCTTTCTCCTTTCTTCTCCCTTTGATCCTCCCTCCCTCCCCCTTCTTCTTTTGATGGCAGGATGCCTGTGAGGTGCCAAGCCAAACCAGGCAGAGTTGACACAATTTGGTGTAGTGGCTAAGGCACCAAGCTAGGGATCAAGTTCTAGTCCAATCTTCGGCCAGCTGGGTGACTTTGGGCCAATCAGGAATAAACTGCTTCCAAACTCATGCCAAGAAAACTGCAGGGACTTTTCCAGGCAAGTCACCCAGAGTCAAGATGGTCTCAAAGGCACCAAAAACAGACAAAGCACAGCTGTGCTGCCCAACCTTTAAGCAGAGAACATGTGTTAGTACCCACATGCTAACATACTGGGTAACAGCTGCAGATGGGATTACCTCTCCACAGCAGAGGTCAGGGAAGGGGTGGGAATCCCTATGAGAGTTTATAGTTTACATGTGGGAACTACATTAAGAATCAGAGAACAGATTCCCTTCTGCTTCCTGGATGCTGCTGGAAAGGCTATCGCCATCATTAAAGGTAAAGATTGGCAACAGCAAACGTGGAGCCTTGATTTCTGCAAACTAGAAATGTAACAAAAGTCCACGGTCTTTGCCCTAGCCTAGACAGAGGGCAAAGGTCCACCACACATCCCTGGGTC